TTTAATGACATGTCATCAGCTTAACTCAAAGAAATTTTCATAATTTCTAAATAATTCAATGAGATGTTTTCACACAATGTAAAGAAAGTGGATGACTATCCCTCAATTTTGGCTCATTATTCCTCACCCTACTATATTCTCTTCTGTGATTGATCAGATGATGGGACAAGGTTCTAGTTTTAGCGGGGTGGATAGATGTTACTTCTAACTCCGTGCCAAAAGCCCTCGTCCATAACACTTTGCCATGGAGCAAAAATTAGCCTGGAACTAGCACTCAATCTCATGTCAATCGCCTCGTCCTACTCATGCAAGATGGACGTCAAGACCTTGGAATCGGAACGCTCCATCAGTCCCATGTGACTCTCTAGCTCTCGCTCGTTCTCTCAGTCTTGGCTCGCTTACGGGGAGCAAATTGCAAATTCTCCCACCAAATCGCCTTGACTTCCCAACATTGTTGACTTGCAAAGGCTCCACTCTCTTCTGACTCGATTGCAATCTGACACAATTAAGTCCTCGGGGCACACGATGCGAATTACCCTTGAAAGCTTGTGACCGCTTTGAGAAGCTTTAGCTCCTGCCCCTACCGATCGGTGTCGCACTTCCGTTTCAAAATAGCGGGGCCTCTAAGTTGAGTTTCTTGGGAACTCTACGATATCCAAGTATAATAGGACGAGTGATAATTAGCCAAAAGTGAGGGATAACTAGACGCTCCCAGTGTAAATTAGTTATACTTATCCAGATTTATCTTTGTGAAAGTAACTTAGATTGTAAATATCATAAATTACTATGATAAAATGTCAAGAAAAATAAAGAAGTAGAGAATAGATTATTCTTAGTTGATTTTTAAAAAGTTTGAATATTTTTTTATGAGAGTACTTGTTTCATCAATGAGGCTTAAAAATTGCAAATCATCTTGAAGTGTTAATGAGAGTTGATCTTGAATGATGAGTAAAGAGATTGTGTATTCAAATGATTGTACATATACATGTAAATCGATTCCAACCATCTAGATTCATGACGAATCACCAAGAAGTCATTTGAAATAAACCTAAATGAGAGTTAGGTTGGAGATACCAGAATCACATTGTAATAATTGTGAACAAGACATTTGTAAACAAGGAAATGACCATGTTACTTTAGGAGAGTATATGATATCATTCTAGATGTTAGAGATTATTTAGTCATTAATATAATTAGTCAAATTTTATGATATCGGTAAGAGACGCTTGTATCCATTATATGGAATTTTTGCATGATTGATAAGAAACTAATTCATTGCATTAGTTTTTGTCAATGAATATAGTAACTCACTACACTGTAATGTTTATTGTGCTTGTGATGGATGTAATGAAACATCTATTATAAAAAATAAAATCATATGAATATTACAAAAGCTTGATAGTATTGAGTATGATTTGCAAGCTAAAAAATAGATAATTAAGAGTTGAAACATATGCTATAATGATCGCAAGAACAAATGTTTGTGAACACAAGAAATCTAATCAATCATTTTTTTGAATTCATAAAAAACGCTTTGAAATTGAAAAGTTTCACATTATTGAAAAAAATAATTGTATGAACAAATAACATCAATGACAATTCCAATAGTGCAAAAAAAAAAATGGGTAACATGAAGTTTAAAATATCATGAAAGTGATAACAATCGCACTTGGAAAACTATCAAATTGAAGCCTATTGCTCTAAATCAAGATGTAAAAACATAACTTATTCATTGTGATATATTTGTGTATGTGTACGGCTCAAGATGATAGATATTTGCACGACATTATTGATAACTATAAAAAAATAATTTAATGCAAGTTGAGAATATTGTCATACTACATTTGCAATCTTTGTTTCTGAAACAAATGGATGAATATGATTGTACTTTATTGTTTAGTACCCTTGAACAATATTTTCATTTCAAGTGATTTTCAAACATGTTGAAAATCTTTGTAAAGAAAATGAGCTGTAAAATGAAAGATTAAAAAAAAAATACACTCAAGATCACATTTATAACTTTGATGATCTTGTTATTAATTTTCAGAATTTTAGGAAAAAAATAAGTGATGAGAAATTTTTTTTAATCTTTTAAAATCTTTACTTGCTTATTATTAGTAATGATCATATGTGTTGTTTGATCTTGATAGACAAACTATCACTTACAAGAGATGATAATGATGACATCTTCTTATATTTTGAATACTTGATACAAAATTGAATGTAAATTTAGATATGAAAAATATGACAAGCATTATGGATCTAACAATATGTTCAAACTTTGAGGATAACTTTGAAAAATTGAACTATAATTGCATGTTGTGTGATCATGAAAGTTAGTGATACTTTTGTAATCAATGTGACTCAAAAGTTTGATCTAGAGAAATGTGTTTGATATTGAATCATGATTTTAAAGATATACTTTATGTAGCTCACTAAAGAATGTTGATTATATATGAATTTTAAATAGTTTTTGATCTTATCACATGTGTTATATTGGAGAGATATTTGGCGTTTCTAAATATCAAATAATTTAACTTTTATGAAATATAATTACACTTATTGAATTTTTAGGTATAAAGTAGAAAGATATTCAAATGTTTCATGAAATCAAAAGTAAATTGATTCAGATTAAATTTATACTTGACAAAAAAATACAATTTTCTATTTTAAGAATATGAGATTTAAAATATCTTGGGTATTGTATAGAAAGAGATTGATTTACATGAGTGAGAAGTGTATATTAAAAAGACATTAGAGAAAAATCCATACATGTCCGAGTCAAACATTATATGTGAGAAGATTGTAATATTGAGTATTAAGAAAAGAACTCATTTGCAGTTGAAACACAATATTAAAGATGATGGTTGTTCTCATACTTATATATATTTTATCAACAAGTACAAGGAATTAAGATGTCAGCATTATTATTCATTACATCCATAGTGGTAGATGATATGACGGATAAACACTAACACACATGTATTGTTGTTAATATGTTGATGTCAATTAACTAACTAGCTAACACACTTCAATAAAAGAATTCTATTATGAGTAGTCTCAACTTTAGATGAAACTACTCAAGACAACAATAATAATACACAATATTTTTAGTTAACTAAAGATGATTTAGTAAATTATTTTTACTACATTTTAGATTAAGATTTTTCATGTACTACATTTTAGTTTAGAACATATGGATATTAGATAACTAATACTTTCTGTCCATACAAACTTGTTACCTTGTATATGTTTAGTTGATTTTCAGTTTTCTAAATATTGTGTTATGAGTAATCATCATATCAAAACTTTTGATGTTATAGCTCACAAGTTTAAAGAATTACTTCAATATGTATATAATGACATTTGAAATCTTGTTCAAAATCCTCATTTGCCAATAAATTAACTATGTATCATTTATGCATGATTATCTCAAATTTTTATTGCTTGATTCCTTTCACACAAATTTGAGTTACATCTAAATTTTATAAGTTGTAAAGCCCAAGTTGAGATTTAATCCAACGTGAAAAGTTTTGACAATGACAAGAGTATATATTTAATTAGTTTAAAAGTAATTTGAAATGAAGTAGATTACTAGTCATCTCATAAGTGTTTATATTTCACATTAAATAATTTTTGCAAATGTTTTTACCAAAAATTTTTGAAAAAGATATGGAAGTTTGTAAAATCAATCTACTTTTAAAAAAATATCATGCTGATGTAACACTAAAATTTTGGATAGAAATTTATTTTAAAATGAAGCACAAATTTGCAAGATGAAATTCATCTAAATGAATCCACTCTTCCTAGTTATCATCATAGTTATAAATAATATCAAGAACTCGAGTGCTAAATTCCTCGCGATTTGAAGTAGTCACGTGTATTTGTTTCAGAAATGTATGGGAAAAAGTACATTTGAAGTCATAACTCGCATTTATCTCTTTCCCACATATTAAAGATGTAAGTTACAAAGTGAGATCGAACATCAAGCATGGTTGTATTAGGTCGCCTAAATTACCTAAACTATCTGGTGATTAGGAGATTAAATGAATTCGGGTGTGATTTGGCGTCTACATGTTGCAACCAATGGGGAAATGACACCTATGCAGAATACACAGATTTTTTTTTAATAAAAAATTATTTTAATTAAAAAAATACAGAAATTTAAAAGAACAAAATTTTTTTAGGGAAAAAAATTTAGGGACTAAATTAGCCTAAATTAATTTTTCAGAGATTAAATTGGTCTAAATTAACTTTTTAGTACTAGACTAAATTAGCCTAAATTAACATTTTAAGTATATTAAATTAACCTAGATTAACGTTTTTGAGGAGACTAAATTAAATATTTGTGAGTAGACTAAATTAATCGTATTTAGGCGAGTGACTATCCTAACCATGCATGAACATTCAAACATATATCTAACCTTCCAGAGTGTGCAGAACAACTGAAAACTTGAAGAAAAGAGGCTTAAGAGTAAAAACATACTTCTCAAATATATATGTAAGCTTCAAGAGCGTGCAAAACAACCCAAGTAGCACGAGCATGAAGATGAGACATACAAACGAGCCACCAAGATAATAACTGTGACAATTCCACATCAATCGACCCATAATCTATGAACAGTATCGCGGTGCTTTTGACAAGAAAAGCACACCGTTCATGAACAACAGTTACGTCATGTAGACATCCAAAGTCAGAATTATAGCTGGAGGCAAAGTTTCAAAGGATCACGCCATGAGACTTTTCTGATGGCATCTGGTGTCACAATTGCCCAAGAACTCACATCATGCTCTTGTTTGGTGGCAAGGAAAGTTTGCGGATGGGCAAGGAACTAGAGTTTGTAAAATTGGACATGGGGATTACTAATTCAGGACGTTTCCGTATGTATTCAAAACGTATCATTCCCAAAGTGGAAAGGGGTATTCATACGTATATATAGGCATAGGCGTACATAGGCGCGAATCGGCGAGAATCGCTGTACGTACGGCGTCATGACGAAGAACGAATGATTCATCGAAATGTGCTCGGGGAAAGTCGAACCGCAAATGCGGAACAGGCCGGAATCGAACAGATTGAAGAGAACAGAGCAAGAAGCTGCAGAATTATGCCGCCAGGCAATTGGTGACGGCTGGCGTGCGTGATTCGGGTCTATGCGATGACAAAAGTTGCGATATTACCTTTTCGCAGCGGAGGCAAGAGTGCTGGGATTGTGGTTTTTATCATCATCGTTTGGGCAAGGTTGTGAATGGAAACGCTGATGACAGCCGAATCTGTTGGCTGCTATTGATCATTGCGCCAGAAGCTCGAGTGCAGGAGCGCGGCATTTTCTTTACGCAGCATCGGCTCTTCCATGATCGTCCATGGCATTTCATATCGCCTGCCCCTTCACCTGGTACTTGGCTTCCTCTGCTCTTCCCTCTCTGCCTGTTTTGCATCGCAAGGAAGAAAGAGAGAAGGATTTTCATTTTTTTTCTGGAAGAAAACCGGGGAACGCTGAATTTTAGGCCTTGAATGACCGCCGGAGAGTTTAATTTAGCATCCGAGAAGCAAAGCTTAGTTCGGAATTTTTTCGGCGCTCTTTCGAACGACTGTTTTGAGGTGCGCAGACTGCAATACGTCCTGATTTTGAAGCCAACGAATTAGCGTAAAATTGTGATAGGACCGTGTAGGAAGACTACGTTGGCTTTAAGACCTGAATCACTGGTCGAGTAGCTTCATGGCCTCCAAGATTTCGAGAAATCTCTAGTTTCTGACGCCTATATGCGTGGAACTGCAGCCGCAAGATTTGTTTCTGCACTCTTGGGACGCCGATTTCGCTGCAAGCCTGGGAAGGAAAGCAATCGTTTCTTCAACATACAGTTGCTTTGGAAAATCTGCTTGCCAACCCACATGTCGTTTACGGAGGAGAAACTACTGTTGAAGTGCTTGTTCCACGCCTCTCTAAGGAGGCGAAGAAAAAGAAGCAAAAGACTGCGGGTGCGCAAGTAGACGGGGAGAACATAGAAGACACCTCATTGAACACCTCAAAGAGGGGGATCGTCCGCAGGAAAGTTACAGTATCATCTATAGCTATTGCCGAAGCAGCTGCTAAAGCGGATCATGTAAAAAAGGCTACAGATGCGGCCAAAGCGGGGGTGGCTTCTCAGGTATTGGTGATTATCTCAAATATTCCAAGTGTTGTCCATTCGATGGTCCTCTTTTCTCTAGGTCTGACGACTATGCATGACCATTAGAGTACGCTGATACAGGTAATACAAGAGCGTGATTGGGTCTTTGGGGTTTTGCAGCTTGCCGAGGCGGAGGCTCTAATAAAATCTCGTGCCAAGACTAAAAAAGGCGGGGCAGAGGGAATAGGAGGAGTTTTGGGCGTGGTTAGAGATGGAAATAATGATTCTTTGAGTGCAGATGATTATCTTCAGCCTCTCCTTCCGCAAGTTGTTTGCGGACTGTGCTCCTCTGTGGAGACCGTTGGCAGTGAAAGGGAGAAACGAATGCTTCCTTGTCGCGGCTGTTCCAAACGGTATCACAGAAAATGTGTAAAGCAGTGGGCTGAACATCGAGGTAATTTTATGACTTAGCAGGAGAATGTTGGATTAGGCCAGTTTGACTTCACAACGCTCTGTAAGCGCGGATGGTCCACTGGCTATGCATTGGAGAAACCATTCCGTTTTTAACTCTCTGATTTGTTTTCTGCCGAAACTTACGCCCAAATTGCACAAAAATTTACTCCGGAGATTTTGTGGAGGTAACAGAATCTTGAAAACTGTGTTTTGGTCAAGCAGATATTTTCAACTGGGCCAATTGGGTTTGTGGATCATGTCGATCCTGCGAGGTAAGCCCTCAATCGTTTCTGCGTTGGTGATCAAGTCCATAGCAGTTCAAAGTTGCATCTCTATACTAGACAGGCGTGCCTATAATTACATTGTTATTGATGTTGAATATACAACCATGAGAATTCATCATGTGTTTAGTGATATCAGTACTGATGTCACATCCTATTAACCATTACCGGCTGTTGTCATTTAATTTCTTACTTACATGTCCGTATCACATGCTTGTGTGGATATTTTAGCCGTCCCTGAATTGTTGTCTAGTTTTAAGGATTACAAAACCTAAAGGTTTTCCTGGAATGCTCCTCCTTCCATCTGACTGGAGAGCATCAAAGTAGCAGCACTTGGCCGTTGGTAGTAGTTCATGGGTTTAAAAAGCGGAAAATTTTCTAGTTTGGGCTCGAAGAACGTGGGTCAAAATAATAGACCATGTTGTGATGTCAACGTGGCTCAGCCGTAGGATTCAAAAAGTACCTATTGCCGAATCTAATTCTGGACTTGTTTCCAAGGAGTTCAGTGAAGATTCAGGTTGTCTGAGCTGTGATACCTCTTTTTTGACCTTGTTCTTTACCTTGAGTTGTGCTCTTCGTGATCAGGTTTGCAAGCGGACCGGTGAGCCCAATAAACTGATGTTCTGTAAAAGGTGTGATGAAGCACTTCATGTTTACTGTCAGCAACCGCCCCTAAAGGCAAGTTTGTGTGAACCTCCCACACCTATTGAAAGTAAGCTCCGCAGTCTTGATTTAAATATTGTCTTAAACTGATCGCATTGACGAAGAGCTGCAGTGAGGAATTCGCTCAGGCATATGAATTTGTCAATTTACCGGCTTGGACTTCACATTATGACCATTGCTTATGATGAACAGTGGTTTATTTCCTAATTTCAGCACGTGCCGAAGGGGCCCTATCTATGTCCTAAGCATACTCGCTGCCATAGTTGTGCTTCCAATGTTCCCGGGAGTGGTGTCAGTTCAAGGTATGAAGAGTGTTTAATTTATGGAATAAAATTCAGCTTCACGATTGTCGTCATAGCCCTCTCTTACAAATCCGGTACTTTTTGTTTGGAAGCCAAACATTTTTCTTTAGATGTCGTTTTTCAGTTTCGCTGCATTTTTTCCTAGTTCTCGTCTTTACACACTTAATCAGGGAGCAGAGTACATAATCTTCAGGCTATTAGGAAGTACAGTTTTCTCTTCGTACGATGTGCAATTCTCATGCTTGATGCAACGGATTTCTGAAACATGGAAATTGTGAGTAAAAATTAGTAATTTCTGTACCACTCAGTCCGGGTAGGTCATTCCCATACTAATAAGATTGTCTCCAATCTCTGCAGATGGTTCATGTCATTCACTACATGTGATGCTTGTGGAAGACTCTTTATGAAGGACAAATACTGTCCCGTGTGCCTTAAGGTTTGTGCCAGCCAGTGTCTGTGATATATTAAATTATTCTCCTTTTCACATCAACAGTAGGTTTTACCGCAGTTACACTTCCTCTTCACTTACAGTGTTACAGCAAGTTACATTCATCAGTTGCAAACCTTCAGTGTGGTTCCTTTGTTTCAGAGATAGGTATTCTCTGTATCCGGACCATTGTGATGTGTTGAAATGTCCTCTCGCCATCAGGTGTACAGAGACTCGGAAGCCACACCGATGGTCTGTTGCGACAATTGTGAGCATTGGGTACACTGTCGTTGTGATGGAATCAGGTTCTCACTGTGATTATCTTATGTTTTTTTTTAAATCCCTCCCCCCCCCCCCCCCACTTTATGAAATCTAGACCTGGGATTCTGTACCACTCATTTATGACCTGGAAGGCGCAGTTTTGTGACTGATTTTTCCATACCATGTTGCAAACTACAGTGATGAAAAGTTCAACCAGTTCCAAATCGACGACAATTTGAGATATAAATGTGCTGCGTGTAGGGGTGACTGTCACAAGGTATTTTTAAGTTTAATCAGCTGAAATACATTTTTCGTGATGAGCTTTGTACTGCAAACTAAATGTCAACTGGTGTTATTATCGTATATGCTTATCTTCCTGCTGATATTTCTTCGATGCTTACTCCAAGGACTTTTTGTAAAGTGATCTAATGGCTGACGAAATTATTCTTGAGTAGGTCAAAAACGTAGACGACGCAGTTGCAGTCTTATGGAGGAGAAGGGACGAGAGTGATGCGCAACAGAGAGCAGAGCTCCGTGCAGCTGCAAGTCTGCCTTCCGAAGAAGAGATGTTAGATCTATGTCCATCATCTGATGATGAGAAGCAGCTTCCAGCAAGTAGTCAAGCAGTCCTTGGGGTGAAGAAGACAGGGAATATGAAGAAGAAGAGTGCGAGAAAGGACTCTAAAGATAACGTTGCTTCTGGAAGTGCAAGTGATAAGCAAGAGGATAAGATGCGGAAAAAATCAAGTACACAAAAGACCATACTTAAGATATTGTCTCCGAACCCGAATTCAGCTGGCGAGATATCCAGAAAGCCCAAATTAATTATTAGAGCTTCCAAGTCTATGAGAAACAAACCTACCAGAGAGTCTGCAGATGATAGTTCTGAGCAAGCAGAATATATCGATGAAAGCGATTTAAACGAAACGCTAAAGGTTCCTGATGATACATCAGTGAAGGAACTTACAGCAAAGAAGCTGATAGATGTAAGTCAGCAGCCAGACCGAGAAAGAAGGAATGAGAAGAAAAGAACGGGCTTTTCCACGCCCGTAGCGATCGGTTCAGTCGGCACGGACATTGACACAAGGACACCAAAGAGTAAGAAGGTGACAGTGCTCGACAACGAGGGATCTCAAGAGGCCGGCTTCAAAACCGAAACTTGGACCAGCAGTTCAGGAAGATCAAAGAACAGGAAAGCGGGCCCAAGGGGTGGCGCTAAGCATCCAGGAGTGATCCTGGATAGCAGCACTGGTATCGCAACAGACACGGCGGATGTGTCCACTAGTTCAGCTGGTAATTTTCAAATGCTCCTAGTCTGTACCCCATCTAGTTCCATCGTACATCTTTGGTTGAAACGTGGCACTTTTCATCTATGAGTGTGGTACATCTAGATATACCACTACGCCTCATTTCATCATGTGATACCCGGGCAGTCGAGTGAAATTCAATGTACTCAACTCTTCTCTTTCTACTTAAGATCTGGATTGTACGTAAAAGTAATCATCTGTTTGTACCTACCAGATGTAGAGCAGCTGAAGGAGGAAGGAGCTACCACCGAAGATTCTGATGGAAGGGACGTAACGAACGATGATTCTGCTATGGTGGATAGGACACCTCGAGGTATCTCCATATCAGTTGTGCCAACTGGGACTTGACCGTTTACGAACCACTTAAGCCTACCACAACAATGACGCTGTGTTCGGTATAAGTACTGAAAGTATGTCATTCTGTACCTCATTGATTGCCACCAGCTAACGTATATCTTTTCCTTCAGGCTTATTTCCACTCCATTCTTGGGGTGGTCATGGGCACTCCGAAAGTGCTCGGAGGCGCCGAATGCCAAGTTCAAAGTTCAGGGATATGGAAGTTAGTGCATGGCGCCCCTCTAGGGGAAATTCCACTGGCCTAAAAGTTGATGGCGACGTTTTATCGGGAGCGGAATTACCACAGCGGAAGGATGCTGTAGGAGGATCTCGACAAGGATTGACAGAGCTTCGTAAAGATAGCCGAGTCAAGTTTAATGTGTCTCAACAACACGAGAGTGCCGGTATCTTGGCCGCAGCAGAAGATGATTTATCTGGAGTTCCAAGAAAGAAGATGAAAGTTGTAGACATAGGGGGACGTGGAAGGCAAGAAGATGCAGTTGAAGGATCAAAGCCGAAGGTTCCTTTGAGACTCAAAATCAGAAGCAAACCGGGTGGTAAGAATGAGATAGATGGTACTGCAAGGGATGGGCAAAATCACGAGGAAGAAGAAACGAGTACAGTGAAAGGGCATCGCTCAAAGAGGAGACGTCCAGGTGCTCTAGAGCCTGGAGAAAAAGATGATATAGGCTTAGCAAATGACAATAGAATATTGCAGAGACTTGGAGCAGATGCTGTTTCCAAGAGAGTGGAGGTTTTCTGGCCCATGGACAATCAGTGGTACGTAAGCAGAAAATTTAGACATTTCTGGCATACAAGCTAGTCTTGCGGTCAAGCATTATATCAGTCCTGAAGTGATATGGTGTGAATCGAAGAGAATGAGATCTATGTTTTTATAGATCTATTTCAATTCCTACCCTTGTTTGGCTGTTAAAACATGGTTTTGTTTGTAAGTCGTAGTGTGGAGGACCTGATTTGTGACAGTTTTTTTCCATAACTTGAATGTTTTTGCTTTCATGCCCATTTTGCCATTATTTTAGATCCTTTGTGGACGATGTTTGTGCAGGTACAAGGGTACCGTTATTGAAGTATTTCCGCAACAAGCTCAATTTGCTCTTAGGTATGACGACGGTGAAGAAGAGACACTTGATTTCGGTAAGGAGAGAGTTCGGCTTCTGTCTTCTCGAGAGTAGTGTTTGATAAACTGTTTTTGTCAACTGAGAATTAGTAAGCTACGATCAGAACAATGTCAGCCTGGCCTTTCCAGTGCATATTTGTTTGTATAATTATTTGTTACAAAGATTGAGCAACTCAATGTAAACATCTTACATTTCGAGAAGCAAGGGTGGATCATCTCTACCTTTGAAATTTGTTCTGTTCTCGATACCGTGAAGAGAATTCTCAGGCAATACAGGACAGTCATGGTTTTCGTCGTGATTGGAGGGTTTCTGCGTGAAGTGTTTGCTCTGGAAACAGTTTTTCTCCTGCAATTTTGTAATCTAATAGTAGTTGCATGATATTATGATCCAGATAGGTAAAAAGTTCTTTTTGTCTTCTGTCTGTCCTAGATTCTATGAAACTATTCTGTCTCTAGTTTCTCAGCACAGTAGTAACTACGTCTGCATGGCTTGCTGGCCCAAAGACTTGAAATAACTGTACAACTGGACATTAGTCTTTACATGTCTTACGAGTACTGGAATAGGCGTCAAAGCAAATTTATGGCGTAGGTTTTTTGGGGTCGATTATGAGCGAAGTTTGTGAGTTACAGAAGATTATTGGTGTAAGCATTTCTGCTTTAGTGACTTGAAACGCAGTTTTCAAAGTGCAAAAACCTTGATCAAGTGAATGGTGGATGCATTTCAAATTTCTTATCTAATTTGGTTTCCCATGGTGCAAGGCAACCGTCGTTGAGTTAAAGTTCCCCTTTCACTATTGTCAGAATTGCCGAGTTTGCTGTGACTTCTGAGATCTTGACATTTGAGACTGACCAATGTACTCGTGAATTTTTCAATGGGGTCGTTCATGTGTTTGAATCATGTCAGGTGCGCATACTTAGTCATAAAAAAGAATAAAAGAATAGACTGAAGAAGGCAAAAATGCTCACATTACTTTTAGTTATTTTATGGTAAATGGATCAAGCCCGGGGACCCAAAGGGTCAAAAGGCTAAAAAACACAATACAAACAATCCAACTCAAAACAACCAAAAGAACTCCTCTAAATAGAGCCCAAAACATTAGAATGGTAACTAATAATATCTTTAATATAACAATTTAAATCATATGGTTCAAGCTGAAGCAAAGAATAAAAACTCTCAACAACAACTTTATGAGCCGCTCTAAACGGTAACTAACAACACCCTTAATGTAACAACTTGAATCACTCTAAACGGTAACTAATAACACCCTTAATGTAACAACTTGAATCATAAGGCTCAAGCTGAAGCAAAGAATAAAAACTCTCAACAACTTTATGAACCGCTCTAATCTCTACATATCTAGTACAAGTAAGAAATACATGCTCTTCATCCTCAATTTCTTACCATCACATAGCTTACAAATACGATAAACCTCATCGCTCTAATCTCTACATATCTAGTACAAGTAAAAAATACATGTTCTTCATCCTCAATTTCTTACCATCACATAGCCTACAAATACGATAAACCTCATCGCTCTAATCTCTACATATCTAGTACAAGTAAGAAATACATGCTCTTCATCCTCAATTTCTTATCATCACATAGCCTACAAATACGATAAATCTCATCGTGATGTTGGTTATATTCATGTTTATTGAGAATATATTTTGTCATGCTCTCCGAGGTAGACTTCTTTATCTTGTGATAGAACTACAGAAGCCCAGAAATGGCTTTAACGTGCGCGTTAGGAGAACATTCTGCACGTGCACTCGTTATTATCCATGTATATAGTTACAACATTCTAGATCATTTTGGATGTAATGTAGCATGTGTCGAAGGTTTACAATTGATGGAGCCTATTTCTTGGTATTGGAAACTCTTTCACTTGGTACGAATTTATCTGTAAGTGCTGAAAGATAAGACTCCATGATTTTCTCGTGTTACTCTGACATCAAATAAAACATGGCAACACAACTAAATAGCGGAAGAGTTAAACGTTGACGCGAGATACTCTAGATATTGAAGATATTAGTCTATCAGAGGATAAATTTCACATTGAAGTGTAGTATGAAGTTCGATTGGAAAGAGTATAGTGAAAGAGTATCAGCAGAAGTCCCAAACTGACGCGTAGTCTTGAGGGTCGAACAACATTCGTTGGGTAATAACTTGTAATTATGAAGTACACCTATCTCCATCTTTTCACAATTAGTTGATATTTGCATCTTCCAAAGTTCGTTGGGTTTCGCATAAGAGTGTACTGTAGCGAATCAATTCCTCATTGCATCCCGCACTCAAACATCCATAGCTTACATCAATCCCAAAAGATGAAATTCAGACTATTCGCAATTGTATCTTTCAATTTTCATGATTATCATTGCAAATGATGCTTGCAAAGTTGTGTTCAATACTCATAAATTATTTTGCAACCGAGTGCACACTTTTTCCGGGTCTAAATCCGTGGGATAAATTGCTAAAGACAAGTTAGATCATCAGATAAATTTTTTGACAAATACCGGTTATCTGGCTCAACAAGTACTTTTTATTTATATATTACATACAAATTTAATATTATTTTCAAATTTAATCTAAATAGGACTGATTTTTAAAATTATTTTGATAACCAAAAGTAAAAAAAATAAATTTCTTGAAGCTCATTCTATATCTCAAAGAATTCATTTAAATAATAAATTCTGTATTTTTAAAATCAATTCAAAACTTCAAATTAAAAATAATTTCATGAGATTAGTATACATATATCAACAATCATGATAATATGTTGTTGAACACTACAAATTACACAATGAAAATCAAACACATTAGGTAAAAATTAAGTACAATATCTATTTTTTGTGATAAAAAATAATGTTTCTTCGTTGAGGTGAACTATACAATGGTGTCTTTGTTAAGGTTGTCTTGTCTTCATGGTGGATGATTTTCATTGGGGATTTGTTCCCAAACAAGAATGAAAAGCGAACTTTTACAATGAGAGGTATTAGATTTTAGTGTAAACGAGTAACTTCAAAGAGTATTTGTGATGAGATATGAACACAATTGATCATTTGAAGAAGTTTAAATTGTGTCAAACATGTGAGATTTACTTAGCAATGTTTAAAAGAAGGCAAAATTTGAAGAATACTAGATGAATGATGATTATAATTTATTGACAATTGTAAGAATTTTGCATTCATATTGCATTCATTGAAAAAAAGAAAATACACATATTCTACAATGTGAATATTCAAATCATATCAGTAATAAAAAAAATCCAGTATTTTCATTTGATATCAACATTATTATATGGTTTATCTTGAAATTAACATAGCAAAAACACATACTCTAATCTATTTAATTATTGACTATGAAAAAATAGCTTGAAAATAATTGTAATATCAATAGATAGTGTCATAAAAAAAATTGATATTCACAAAAGAAATTATATATTTTTATTGAAATAATCATAATATTTCAAAATTAATATATATTTTGCATATAAGTATCTTTTTTACATATAAATGTGATAAAATAAATTAAAATCAAGTTTAATTCATTTCAAATATATTCAATAGAATGATATATTTTTCAAAATTAACAGTAAAAAAATTCTATAAAAAAATTTACAACTACATATAAAATTATTTTCATGTTACAAATGTTTCATATGTATAAAAATAACTTGATTTAGCAGTTTTTATGCAAAGTTTTTTTGTTTTGAATATAATTCAGCATGATCTGCATATCATTTGTTTCTACTTTATTGCCGTGTAAAAATTGCTTCATATAGAAAATAACATCAAATATTTCAAAGAAATAATATTAATTAAATTATAATGATATAGATTAAATTATGTATTCCAAATATTTGCCATATTTTTCATTGTCTTTAGTCAATTATATCATCATAAGTTAAATTGAAGCAATTGTTTTATATAAAAACTAGCAAAGGTTTTTTTGCAGAGAATGAAAAATTATTTTTGTTTTCTCCTTTTTGATAAATCACTTATTTTTATGTGAAATAAAATAACAATTCTTTTCATATATTTAGATAAATTTTTTTTATCATGTTTTGTATATATTGGTATATTTTTTAGGTTTTCAATTTGGAATATTGAACTCAAAAATTGAAACTGAATTATTCTTTGACCTTGCTTTCATAAAAAATGTTATAGAATTTGATGAAGAATAAAAATAACTAATTTATTATATCTTAAAAGAAATTTAATTTTTAACAAAATGATTCAAATATGATACACAAATTTATGTTGAATTTTAAGTTATATTCTTGAGAAATTTTATTTTATTTTTTAATAAAATTAATTTTTCAAATGATTTATAAGTGTGATAATGAAATGAAGTTATATAAATTCTTGAAAAATCAATTAATCTTGAAAATTCAGAAAAAATTCCAAAAATGATGAAACTTATGCTTTATTCAAACCCTGGGATTATTTGAAAAGTGCTGAGTATAAGTAGATAAATGATATTGCTATAAAATTGAATTGAATTCAAACCAATTATGTTTTCTATGTTAACATCAATAAAAGTTAAAAATATATTGTAGCATGTAACAAATTTTTTATATGACAATCATATTATTAATTTGTTAATGTAAGCTTTGTTAATAGAAGAATAGTAAAATTTATGTTTCAAATTTTTTTTTTTAAATTATTTTATTTTATCTAAAAAAAACATTCAAATTGCACAAATGATTATTTGTGGCAATATGTTTCACTGATTAAAAAAAAAATTTATGATGTTTTTTAAAAAATTTGAGACATCTAGATTATAATCTAATTCTATCATCTTTATCGCAGTCATATTTTTGAAGTATTACGAAAATTGTTAATTTTTTTTTTAGTTTTTCAAATTTGATGTAAGAATGATAAACACAAAAGTCCAATTAATTTGATCCAAAATTTCTCCGAACCATGTTGAGATCTGAACAATACTTGTTACATTGAAGCAAAATTCTTACAAATTATAAATACAGTATGCTGTAATCGTGATTTGTAATAGTCAAAGTTGTAGAATTGATTGATTGATTATGAGTTTAACTGTTGTTGTTGAGTATTCCGATTTGCATTTATAAACTTGAAGAGAATGTAGACAACAACATTTTAAATGAAATATTTTTTCAGACTTGATATTATGTAACTTATACGCAGAAATCCATAAATGTGTGAATATAGTATATATAGTCTTGTAACAGTGATATAGGATGTGTGACGTAAGTATAAATGTACTTCCTTTATCAATCAAGTAGATTATTTTTTGTATTTCTAGATTTATTTGTCGATTCAAGGCAAAGTTTTGAATGCAGTTTTGAATGCAAGATAAGTTGTAATCTTCTTCTTTTTATCCATGTTCATCAGTTTCTCATATGCACAAAGGAGTTCAAGACTCGAGAGGATAGAATTGTAGAGAATGAAGATTGTGTTGCGTTGCATGGAGCGGGACCAGAGCTCTGAGGAGAAAGTTTTGAAGGCTACAATGAATCACTGTGTTCACATTCTCCTGAAGATGGTGAATCTTGGAAATCGGATCATAAAAGCTTGGTGGGCGTGATTCGGAGCGGCCGCCGAATCACGGACAACAAAATGCTGGACAAGATCGCAGCCATGTCAGCACCCGAACGAGCAGCCCATTGGCCGCAACCCGCGACGCCAGTCAAGCTTCTTCAGGCGGATACCGGTGGACAAACCTACCAACACGCCAAGAACCTTGAGCGACACGTAGTCGAGAACACTCGACAGCTCAGCACTCGATGGAGTCGCAGGGGGGAAGGACAGGTACAGCAAAGCAGCACATTGGGAATTCGAGAAAGTACGAGACAGGGGCATCGAGTAGAAGAAGAAGAAGAAGGCAGGGCTACGACAAACGACTCCTCGGCCCGTAGATCCAGGCTCTGCTCGCTCTACGTATCCGTGCGACCACTATGAAAGACTGTGCCACCGCGCTCGCATACGGTTGACGTGACAGTGCAGTCCATGATTTGAATGCATCCCCGCGGGACCTCGCAACGTGGGGAAAGGACGAGCACCAGCGCCACCAGCCCTCCTCGCGCTCGGAGAGTTGAGTTCAATGATTTCGTCAAAGCCTACGAGGCCCCGAGGACTTTGACTTATAAAAGGCCGACATTCTCAGTCGCCTCCATGAGCTGAGGCGGCACCATCATCGCCATCATCATCATCATCATCCCACCCATCCATCCAACCTTCGATCTCCCCTCCCTCCCCATCCATCTGCAGAAAGGTGACCGCTGGTCGTTGTGTCGTCCCCGGCCCTTGTACATACGGCAGCACGGCAGTCCCGTCGCATACTGGCACGAGGTAAGGGAGGACGGATGTGATGAAAGCGGCCCAAATTGCCTCAAATCCATCGTACTGCGGCTGTCATGCAGTCAGTCAGGCTTTTCCGAAACCTGCTTCGGCCTCGGATCGGGGAATGAACAAACACCAGCAGACCGGACCGGCCCCGGATCGAAGGCTGCGAGCAATCGGGGTCGGGAAGGGGCCAGAGCTCCAGCCCCAAACCCGTTGTGCGTTGGCAGAGGGGAGCACGACAAGCAGATCGGCAGCAGCAGCTAGATCGAATAAGCTCTCGCCTGCTATGGAGGAGGCGTACTAGCGGGATCGAGTGCAGAGAGAGATGGGGACGGGGACGGGGAGGGGGAGAGAGAGAGAGAGCGCTCGGAGAAGTGAAGTTGAGATAATCAGAGAGGCGTGAGGGTGCTGCTCCACATGCCAGGCAGGATGCACAGATTTGATACCAAGATTTGTTAAGCTGTACGTTGCTGTTATAAATGCTGCGCGAGCGAGCGGACGTACTTGCTGGTGTTGGGGCAGGCTAGACAACGAAGCTTCCGTCTTGCTCCCAAGGCTCTCTCTCGCTCGTCACAGACTTTTGGGTCTCTTGTTCGAGAAAGAGTTGTCTAACAAATGCAGCCACCAACCTCGTGAAGTATGCGGTCCGGCCATGCCCGTTGCTCCGTCAGAGCTCGTCTCCTTCCTTGATTGCGTTGCCCCACTCGTGCTTCTGCCATAGACTCTCTGAGCGAGTCCCCTCGCGGCCTGCCCCGCCCCGCCTCGGCAGCACGCATGTGTCATCGAGCGAGAGACCTCATCGGCCCGCCCCTTCCCCGTGTGTAAATTCTCCATCTTCTTTCTCCGTATCATTGGTTCGGTCGGGCCAGGCAAGACGCTCAATTCGCGTCAGCTCCTCCGATGAGTCGGTCGGTCAGGCTCTCCATGAGTCGAAGGGCTCCAACTTGTGCGGTGCGTGCACACAACGCACTTACGGTATTATATGGAAAGGTGAGGAGATTTGGGAGAGTACGGCTGCCACTCGCGATGGGTGACAGAGAGCTTTGAATTGGGCGAGATGGTAGTTCAAGTACTGCTTCACACTCGAACCTCATGACAAGTTGAATACACAGTTGATTACAATCGGTCAGAGACGCGAGGAACTTCCACATTCTCCACTGGTGCCTTGGCCTGCTTCAGAAAACGGCCGACGATCAACTCCAGAGCGCGCTCTGTGTTATCCTGACAACAGAGTGCCGTATTCTTTGACCCGACATTGAAAATTGTCAAAGTCCTCTCGCACCTGCCATGGGGACATACACGATACATCCCCACACACGTACTGCGGTGATTGGACAGGCCCTGACGAGCCTGCAGAGGGGAACTAGGCGTGAATATTGCTACTCTTCGTCAGCGCGTGGCAGAATGCTTCGCAAATGACCCAAGGGCATTTTTGCTCCGCTTTTGGAATGGCCCGCGGTACCACCACCAGCGGCAGTGGCAGACAGCAGCAGCCAAACATGCCGGCGAGCGCTCTCGGATGTGGCACCGAGAATAACCAAGGCTAGCGAGCCAGCCGGCCGAGGTTCCTTCCTTCTTCCCTGGAGCCTGGAGCTCGGCCTCTGGCATGGACAGTACTCTCGTGGGAAATGAATCCCTGACAGCCCGTGAACGTTGGGCAAGAATGCAGAGACGATTCCAGACAGTGACAAACTTCTTCGTTTCAGGGCTCGAGAAGTTCTGGTTTTTTGGTTCAGCATCCACTTTGTCAGGCCAGGACGTAAAGGAAGTCGAAATGATAGCCTTCACCAGGGCTTGCAATGTGGGGCATGCATGCAGGTCCTGTTGCAAGACTCGCGTGAGCTTTCAGACGCTGTTCAAGAATATGATCCCCTATGAGAAAAACCGGTTTCCTACTTCTGAGCCATGACTTGATACAAGTTGCTGCTGCGTCTACGGACAGGGTGGAGAGTGAATGAGTGAGTGAGTGAGTGAGAAGAAGAGGAGAATCTTGGCTCAGATATGACCCTCTATGCTCGCAGGCATGCTTCTAATATAAGAACTTTCCTACCTTTTGAGGTACGTACGATTCCCCATTCTTCATCAATTACACAACTTTACAAGCATGTCTCCACTGAGCAGAGAGAGAAAGGTGATTGTAGTGCACCGTTCTTCGACTGATTCGCATACATAAGGTGTACCTTACTGGCAAACACTTGAGCCACTGCGCAGGGAGCGTCACGACAGAGTTACCGACCAATGAGGCATTCATGGACTCAGATCTGTCCTCTTGAGCACTCGACGACGGGACCATGTGCCATCAGACCATAACCAACGTTCCTGCCAGTCCCAGAGCTAGTCCACAACTGATGGGATGAGAAAGTCATCCCTTATATTTATGTACAGTACACGAATTCCCGAACTCGGCAGGCCTTTGAGAGAGCCGTAATACGTACTGCTGAACACTATACACATTTACATTGACCCCGGCTTCTCCACCTAAATAAATAAATAGATTTCAATTGATGAATTATGCCAACTGGCTGGCTTCCGCACTCGAATACTTAGAGCTGGACCTAACTAACAGTGATCTCTTCAAAGCAGGACAACAATTGCTCACTCCGATATTCAAATGCAAGCGTACAATAAATGATTAGAGTGCTACACACATGTCAACTTCACAGAAACTATCATAGCGCATACAAGCTCGATATCTCACTTCCTTGGGGCAGCCACCAGCCATCACCAGTTCAACCAGTTGAACTCACCGCATTATTGCTTTTCGAAAATCGCCACACTGGTGGGAGCTCAGCCTCTCGTTCTCATGATGGTTATACATCCTTCCCCTTGCGTGTGAATCTTGGTACGATGGACGACCGATTTTCCAGACAGACCCCCGGCACCTGCCTGAACTAGCCGTTTGTCAACAGAGAACTGGGATGGTCTAGATGGTGGCATGGACAGCCTTTGATTGATGTCTGTCAAAGTGACGTCACCCTGAGCTCGAGACGGTTTCAGGAGGTTGAAGGGATAGGCTACAGGAGTCACTGACTTTGGTTTGTTATATTGCACGGTTGACCTGCTACCTGTGTCAAAGGAGGAGACATAACGCTCTCAACAATTAAGTCTTGGAAGTGGGACTAAGCACGAGTATCTGTCATCGGACTGCACGGGTGAACTTCGATTCTGTTACAGACAGCCCCATCCATCCAGTCTGAGCCCCGATAAATAGACAGACAGAAAAACACTTTCAGACGAGGGACGATGCTCGGGTTTATACCAGGGGTAGAAGGCCCTCCGAAGGAAATGGACGGGCTCTCAGAGAACTCGAACTCGCATTCCTGCTGTTGTTGGTTCATTGAGCAGGATCCTGGGAACGAAATTTCCGAGAGTTTACATGAGAGGGTGTGTGATTCGAGATTGCCCACACTTTACAGGAAAGAAACAAAACACTGCTGCACACGGTGTGCATGGCACGGGATTGACATTTCATCGATAGATAAAAGAGTTCGGGCATCTTACCTGAGCCCGACGTACCTGAGATCTCACTGATAGGAACGACCTGTTGGTGACCTTGGATTTCCACGAAGCATCGTGACATCCACTTATCCGATGCAGCAGGTTCTAACGCCTCGTCCATAATAAAGTGAGTCTCATCTGTCGAGACAATGGCCATGAGTCTTCTTTCACTGTCATTTTCAATGAACCAAACATCGCCATGGAACAGACTGATCGACGCACTTTTCACTTTCCAGTAGTTGGCAGCGTTCAGCTGAAATTACCGTTTCTGAGGTACCAAAGAGAATTCGGTGAAGAAGGCGCGGGAACTTCGAGTCTTTCGAATTCTTCGCAGGGTGGCATCATCGAACCACCGCCACCGCAGCTCTGCCAATTACGAATACCGTCCGGGCTGAGAGTCAGAACGGGAAAGAGTTGACCAGACGTCGAGCTTGGTGGCATTGCAGTCCGTCTCACTTGCCCGCCAGCACCTCCAGCACGAAAGGCTTACCTCAATGTGAGACTCCATGCACTCCATGCTTGCATCCATGGCCGGATCACCCGGACCGCCTTCGTCCCTCGAGGCCGGGAACAGCAACATACGACGTCGTTTCAACCGTGGGCTTCCGTCTTGCATAGTAGTATCCGGATACAAATCCTTGCTAGCCTCCATCTCTGAGAAATTTCTCCACACCACCACCCATGTCCCAGACCGACCGACCGACCGTCAGTGCCCATGAAGACCGGCTGAGAGCACGAAGAAGCGAGAGGCAGAAAAACAGTGATTTCCAACCGCGAAATGCCGTGTCTTGAATTATGTGAAAAGAGATTCTACCGGCAAGCCTAGGTCCGACTCATTGCATATTTTACCTTTTCTGTAGAAGGACGATAGCATCCGACTGGAATCCGCGTGCTCGCTCGTGGGCGGTGTCGAAGCAAAAAGCGACCGCGAGTCAGCCTCGCTCTGAGCGAGCCCATCCCAAAGTGAGCGAGAGATGGCTAGAGACACACCGAATGGCAGATAATCAGTTTATTATGCGGGTTGGCCAGGTCGCGGATGGGGAGAAATGCTCGTCACTACAATAAAATAAAGCAAATGCTGCATCCGAAGGCCTGCATCTGACACGAATTAACACATCGCTTCTATCCCCCTCACATGGGCCTCGTTCATCCTGCAGGTGGGTACAGAATTGGTCCGTAGACATCTTTAGCCGAGCTAGTGGTGGCCTGGCATGGTCTTCGTTCAGTTCACCTGTCGTGACTGGCAGGCGCTGTGGGCATACCTAATGGAGATTCCGCGTCGAGCTTGTAAGAGTCCTCTTGCCAAAACCAGTCCTTCTCCTCCATCATGAAGGGATTTGCGCGAGCAATTTGATCATTGACAGTCTGTCTGTCTGTCTGTCTGTCACCAGTCGACAGAGATCAAGCCAGTCCTCCAGCTCCAAGGCACCTTCTTGGACGCGAGGATTGTCCGGGTTCGGTGCAGCGGGGCTCGATGGGCGCTCTACATGGCTGCAGGAGGCTTGAATTTGAGATGCCCAAGGTTGACGGGACGATTATGAATGCTCCAAGAAGCTGCTCAGGCCAGGTGCAAGCCTCCAGAGCGAACGGAACGGACGGGGACGTGTCAACAAGAAAGACAAGACTGCAAACAATATGCTCAGTCGTAACCAAGATGAGTAACAGGAGACGCAAGAACAAATTACCACATAATGTGCAGCTCAGGGAACGAGTGCATGAGTGTGTATGAATGCACAAGTGACTGACGAGCGGTTCAATTGGCGAGATATAATTGGTGGCACCAACTTCTTCTCGCGAGCTCGTGACTGAGACGCGGTCGGCCTGACTCAGTTAGACGGTCATGATGATCAAGAACTCATCAGAATTCCGCGAGCCGAACCGTTTCTTCGCGCAGCGACCAAACAGCTCAGTGCTGCTGCTGCAGGACGTAATCGAGTAGCCGAAAGAAATTGCTTCACAGTCGAAAGGTATCACCTCCTGCGAACTGATCTGACCAGCAGCAGCAGAACAGACCGAGCTGAGCTGAGCTGAGCTGAGCAGGACTGAGCTGAAATGGGCTCGGCCGACGACGACCTCCCGATGAGAACTCCGCGGAGAGGAAGAGGAATGCGGCTCTCGTGCAACGAGCGAAGACATGAAGCGATGACAAATCGAATCAATCCGACCGCGATCGGGAGGTGGACTCGACCGGGGAAAGCTGCGACCGCCGCAGAGAACGACCCGCCATGGCCATACGAGGGGAGTGGCAATGCGAAATAGCTCGACTTCCACAGAGGTCCAAGACGATCATCAACACACCCGGAGAGCAAGATCATCAGTCGCGGGACGAGTGCGGCTGCGGGAAGATCATCGCTCGCCAGTGGTGGTGTGCTGCAGCTGCTGCTGGTGCGGAGAAGGAGAGCGCTCGTAAATGGCAGGAGGAATGAGCCGGATGCTGTTGGCAATTGGGCCGCGGTCCGTGGTCCGCGAAATAATAGGCCGCAAAAGCCGCCACTAAAGACATCGGCCAGTGCATCCGTAGGCTAATGAGCAGCCAGGGCATGTGGCATCACGTATCTTGCAGTAGTGTTCATGGCACTGTTTTCTGTTTCCGTGTTCTCGACACATCCACTCCCGGCATCAGCATCAGCAACAGCACCAACAGCAGCAGCACCAGCGCAAGCGCGAGGACCAGGCCTCCCCTCCCCTCCACCACCCCCCGCCCCGACTCTGTCTCGGGCCCTGCCTCGGAGCCCGTGGGCGAATCACGCTGCCAAGAAGCCGATAGCGCAAGTGACTGTTGGAAGGTGTTCATGAATGGGCGAGCGAGCGAGCATTCACGACTCAAGAACCCACATAAACTCTGTCCAGACCGTCATAACTTGCGGTTACTTACTCACGCCACTAAAAGATCGCGCGAGAGCGTGAGAGTTATGGACAGGGCGGTCCACTGTTGTTGAGTCGAGTCGACACCTTCATGCTTACCCCCTCCCCCCCTCCCCCCCTCCCCTCCCCTCCCGTCCCCTCTCATGAACCCAGCCATCTCCATCTCCAACTACAACTGCACCATACTCTACACTTATCAGGACGACGTCCGCATCGAAGTCTAATTCTACACGTGCTGCCGCTGCTGCTGCTCGTCTCGACTCTAGTCTGGCAGGCACTCCTGCTGCTGCTGCTGCTGCTGCCTTTGCGAGAGATCACAAATTTTTAATTGCTTCGATCCATCTCGAGCCATTCGTTGCCACGCAGTAAGTAGTCTTCTACGGCGTTGGGATTCAGACTCTACCACTGTACGTGACATGACTGTACAATATCCACAACAATACAGCAGCGAGCTCGGCTAGGCTGCTAGTGTAGTGTAGTGTGGTGGAGGCAAGTTTCCTGCTCCGATCGCTTGCGCCTGACCGCCATCGAAGGCGCGGAAGCTGTGAATGTCCTGTGAAGCTCTGCAGAGCTGCAGCAGCTGCTGCTGCTGCTGCTGAGACTTCAATCAATGCGCAGGTCCGCCATGAGCGTGTCCAGCTCGGAAATTGGTCAGAGAGACGTTAAAAGAAAGACATAACTTCGAGTGACAATACGCTGCACGCTTCACGATGCCTGCTGCACGTATGGCCCGTCGCCATGTCCCGGTTAGAGGCGCCCCCATCTTGGTGGTCAGCCTGGCGCCGGATAACCGCATAGTCGGCGAGCTCCGTAGCCTCTAATTCTGGCGGCTCCCGCCATAAATCCCGGCGTTTGTATTGTGGATCTTACCTGAGGACCCAGACACTGTACCCAACGACAACGACCCCCACCGCTCAGCTCTGGCACCGGTCTCCTTGCCTGGCCCGACTGGAGTGCTGCCGTGACGCGTCGCGGAGCCGGTAGACACCGACCGGAGGGCGAACGCGCGGTCCCATTGGTCGGGCCGATGGTTGCGCTGCGCCGTCGCGCAGGGTTCTACTGTGGTGCGAGATCGAGTGTTTCGTGACTTGGCGTTGAGTAAGTAGGTGAGTGGAGGTTCGTACTCAGGACTAGCGCAGGAGTCGTCTAGACCTTGTGATTGCGCTGGCAATCTGATGATAGTCGCGTCGAAACAACACGTGTTATTTATTGCGTCGCTGGTGTGGAAATCATCAACTGTAGAGACCGGATACGAGTTTGAACCTGAGTCGAGACCGACCACGTCACTTTCTTCTGTCATGCTGTGGGATTTCGCTTTCGCCTTCGCACTGCCCTGCAACCTGGTTACTGTCCTTGACCCGATGCACCAGATCGTCGCCGTTCGAGCGTGAACGCGAGCGCCGTTCGTCGATTTAATACCCTCCTGACATGATGGACGAATCTTGAGAGCGCAACCATTGCCATGTGTTGTCATTGCAGTCGCAATGAAGCAGATTTGGTCGCTAGACGAGTGCGATGAATAGGAGGAGAGTGATAGGACGAACGCCAACACCAAAAAGGTAACCATAGTTACGGAGACAAGCTCGTCTGACTGGGGCTCTTGAGCTGTTGAACAAATATATAATACATCAAACTAATTTAAAATTTTCCATTATTTTCAATGCTAGAAAAAATCATAATCAATCATGTCAGCAAACAAGAAATAATGTCAAAAGATGAAATATCAATATCAATATGACATGAGCTTTAAATTAAACTGGATTCAAATTTTGGAGAATTTAAGTCATGAAAAATTGATTATATATTAACATAGATATATTATTGGATATCATTAAAAAATTAATGAAAATTAAAATAATGGTTAACCAATAAATAAAAATTTACCTCCCTTATATCATTATCATTTATAATAATTGACTTTATTTCATTACTGAAATAATTTCTTGAAAATTAAAAGATACAACATACTAATGATTGTTGCAAAGAAATTTTTTATATAATTAATATATATATATATATATTATCTGATCTGATCTACGTTTAGATTAACGCTATATAGTTATATTTCATTCATGATATATAAATTAACTAGAATAAATATATAACACATTTGTGATACATGAAAGTATAGTATTTGAGACAATCTCAAGTTTCACGTCACCTTGAATATACATAAAAATGTAAAAAAAGAAACTTTCAGACGAGAATAATAGTAGAAAAATTTGTCTATGACATATGTAAATGACAATATCAAATTAGAATTTTAGTCATGAGTTACATACAAATGTTAACATGTCAATGAAATTTTTCATAAAACTTGGGGAAGCATGGAAAATTCAACTGTAGATTCTTTCCAAACAGATTACCAAAAATTGTACAATTAAAAGATAAAAAAAAATTGTAAAAAAGTATTTTTGACTAGATTGTTTCTATTTTATACAAAATAGGCCGAATGAGTATTTGAACAATTTGTACTTTTGGATATGAAGATTGAAACATGCAATAGTTCAAAAACAACATCAACCAAAAAAGTGATATTCAAGATGCAAATGATTCGTGAGTGAAGACATGAAATGACAAAAAAAACATGATTTATTAAAATATTCCTTACAAATTTAAAAAATGAAAAGAAAAAAATTAAATCTTAAATTTTTTGATCATCGTGATGTATTGAGTTATATATGTCTTTGACATCAAATATAATTTTGAATATATGAATAATTCCAAAATTTCTGAATGTAAAAAATGACATATATATCAAGTAGAGAAGATGCCTTAAAGATAAAATAAATATGCACAATAGTTATTATTTTTCCAAATAGTTTATCTTTTCTATATTTATTTGAAGTATCAATTAACAAAGTTCAAGATTTTCGAGACTTCTTATAACTATTCATTTGTAATTTCTTTCAATTTAATTGAATGATAAAATTGAAAATTGAACGTCTAGTATGAAAGGTTCAACTATCAATCAGCACTCACTACAGTCACAACACCGAGATAACATGACTCACCCTGCACAAGGTACGTCCATGGACAAGAATAGAAACTTCACTGAAGCACAATTGCATACACGACCTCCATAGCTAAACTTTCTTCCTTCCTTTTCACTCTCGAAATGCACCTCCGAACTCTACGGAGTTAATGGCTCATACTCTCTGCTATACAAGAAGAGATCACATGCACATCCAAGCTAAACTAACCATAATTAATTTCCCTAATCATGATTATTGCTAATTGGAGTTAATCCAAGATAAAGTTAACCTAACATAGTGAAAGTTTTATGAATATTAATCTAGATTAATAATTGAAAATTTGAATAAGTAGAAAAATTAAATGTGAAGCTAGACAACAACTATGAAAATTTATAATGCCAAGTTTTGATATTGTCAAATGAAATGAAAAATTTTATTTTCTTTTTCATAGAATTTTCAAATAAAGATGTCTCTAAAGTTATTTATTTATTAAAAATATTAAATATTTATGATAGAAAAAGTATAGACTAAAATTTTAGAAGGTTCAAATCAAACAAAATTTTTTTGACTTGCCAAAAAATCATCAAAAAGCATCGGATATTTCAAACTTTTATTTTTCAGGTTTTAAATTTTTAGTTATGCAAAATTATATTATTGTTATGATAAAATACATATATAAAATTCATAATAATAATAACATTTACATAGTAAAACTTACATAACAATTTAAATACTTAGATTTTAATTATTTTCAATAAAATGATATAGTTTATAAATATTATGAAAATAATATTTTTATATCATTATCATATTTCTATTATATAATAATATTTGATTTATATAATGGGTTTGAAATTTAGATAGTAAAATAATCCTCATTTCTAATCTTCCATGATTAATTTGAAGAAAATTTAAATGAATTATGATTAACTTGTATAGAAATAAACAACCGAAAAAAATTAAAGTGTTGTTTAGTCTATTACAAAAAATATTAATTTTGCATTTAAAAGTGTTAATATATGATTTTATATATATCACATATGTATGTATTGTATGGTATGTAATGGATTAAAGTAAGGTAGCGGCTAGTTATCTCTCACTTATGATTAATTAGACCTCACTCTACTCCAGTCTATTCTCTGATTGGTAGATGCAATTTCTCGGATGAGTAACAATCAGGGTAGGGTGGTAGGTATTCAACCAATCAAAGAATCGCGTATACTAGGATGAGCGCTAATTAGCCAAAAGTGAGGGATAACTAGTACTCCCCTAAAGTAAATACATTTGTTATATTGCTAGGTTATATTAGACTAGGTTAAGGATTGATGAGAAGCAATGCTCTGGTAACAGCAATGGGATGTTAGGTTTTTTGTAAATGTGATTAGTGGAAGGTACAATGTTCTACTATGAGTTACATGAACAACGTTCAAGGTCCACATAGAGTGATGAAGTTGTTTGAAGTGAAGTAAGAAGTAGATAGCAAAAAGTATTGACACATACCATCAAGCCCTACATGAGTGGAATCAAAGGAGGAAAATGAGGCTAAACTTCTATAGCACTTAAATAATAAATGTGATAAACTTCTAACTATTTATTGAGACAAAAAAGTACATATCTCACGGAAAACCATAGTTTCGTATGAGATATATAGATCGCACCAGCTAATATTCTGTTTAGAGCAATCAAAATATTTTGACTACAAGTGATTGTAAAACAATTTATGGGAGTGATACCAATTGATGTGTTGCCTGGTATTCTATGCCACTAATGAACATGTCTTAAGTAATATTTATATCAACATTTAAATCTGAAGCTAGAATCAGATAGAGTTAACCTCTATAGACTCCCATGTGTATTTCTGGGTCAGCTTCTAGGTAGAGAGGGGAGAGTTCTCACCACTTTGTTGAAAAGAAATGTACCAACCCTTCCTTCCTTTCACAAGTTTGCTGGATCATGGTTGACGTATTATGATCATTTGCACACCTCATGAAGAACCTTATAAACATCGTTCAGTTTCTAAATTAACTCGATCATACGCCGGATCATGGTACGGGATCTGTTGAGCCGGTCTTGCATAAGTCGTCAGGTAATGTTCTTGTGCAATTTGTGAATCGCTGTCATCGGTATTATTGTTCATCTCGTTGCTCCACACCACAGTGATTGTTAGTGAGGAGTGTCCTGTGCGAACGTAGTGCGATGTTTAGGGCATTGATGACACTGAACTCTTTGAGTTATGTCTCGTGTATCTCCTTCGACCTTAAGAGCGCGTGAAAACCATCCAGGTTTCACGTCCCTACTGTGGTGTCCATATTAGTTTAAAACGTGGACCATGACTCAATTATTCAGTGATACCTCCCTTAATGTCAGTGACACAAGATTTCCGATTTTGAGGTTCTGTGTGTAAACCGAGTTCTCTGTGTCATGTGATCTAGTGAACTTGGTAACTACAGGAAAATTACTGAAAGTAGATAAGTAAAGGCTTTTCAAGTAAATATCTGTCGGTGAACGGTGTGGAAAAGAATGTCCGGAAAGGTCCGACAACACGATTATTTCCAACCGTAACAGAAGTGTGAATCTCTCCCCACTTGAGATCTAGATGAGCACGGTTTGGATAGTACAATACAATCTTTCGCTTCGGCGTCTACCCTCCTCTCCCTTTAGACACCCGCACCCACCTCTGGCCTGCGGGTAAATAAAAGCGACCTAAATTTGTATCCCATGATTGTCTAAAAGCCATAGAACACGCAACGCTAGCGTATGAAGGTGAATCAGTCAAAGTCAACTTCGATAGATCTATTATATCCTGGGCTCATAGCTTTTGACAATGCTTTCGACCTTCGTACAGATTCTGGAGTCAAATAGAGCTACAGTATCGCCACCTGAAAACATTTCGTGACATGTAGTGGCGGTAATCACAAAGATTAGCTCCACCATTCGGCTAGTGGCCTTTGTTAAATCCAACTATCACGCTAAGGCACCACAGATTCTTACTGAATATAGCACCCACAAAATAAAGAGTTCCATCTCTTATTATTAGAAGGCGGAACGTTTTTTTTTGTTTTTTGGTTCTATCAAAATGAACTTCCTATGTTCTGCTGAAATACTTCTGAGTTAAAGTTGCACAGCAAGATCCAGTAAGCAGTGTGGGAGATGGTTTCCTTTGATACTGAAGATTTCTGGAAGGGAACGCCTAAGATGGATTCCATGAGGGTTCTATGGTTAAGATTCAACGGGGAAGATGGAACAATAATTAAGCTCGACAAAGGCAATATTACGAAAGACCAAAATAAAAATAAAAATAAAATACAGGCAGAAGATAGCTTTAACTTATCAAGCCCTTGTCGTGAAGAAGACGATCAAAAGCTGTGAAGAGGTTTAAGAATTCACACGAGACATTTGGATCGTAAGAATTGGTAGACCTGGATATGCACTGAAAGATCACTCAAAGCGCTACTTCTTTCTCTTTTCACCGGCACTGTAAGCACATTGAAAACTGATGCATACTACATACGAAGAATGTCAAAGAATACATCCATTGAAAGATGACACTACTATGAAACACAGACGAAGTGAAGCCCACGTCTTGGTTGCGCAAAACCCTTCAGGGATGAAGCATGTACATTTATTTTACAACAGAGTAGCATGATTGATGTAGACACTCAATTGATCCACAGGAAGTGAGAGCTCTAAATATCCCATGCTAGGAAATCTGAGCATTTAAGAACCAACCCACATGTTTTTGACAGGAGTTTAATGAATATGTTTACAGTCTTTCTTACCACCTAAACTGTTTCAAAGCTTCGAATCCTGACCTGTCCAAATTGCCTTCTCTGACAGGAGTCTACAAATTGATCCAATTATTGATTCTTGTATCGCGATCCGTCTCGAAGTACTTCACAGCTCTTATCTTCCCTCCGAAAGCGGCCTAAGGTACGAACAACCCAAGTTTTGCAACCTGCTTCCTCTCTGTTTCTTTCAGCCTAATTTTTTGGGTCATAAGAGGTGAAGTTAAGGTAGAACTGCTAACTAAGTTCCTAGGCTGTCTATAATAGCTTATCTGACATCCATCTTTCACAGTTGTCTCTAAAGTGGAATATTTCCTTTCGATTCCGCATAGTTATGCTTTCGTTCCCAGAGCACAAGGCTTTGGAATGATGAAGACATATAACCATATTCATGATGATTGATAACAGAATGAAGGAATCTCTACACCAGAAAAGAAAAGCAGGTGATTTGAGGTCAAAAGAAAGGAGCGAACGTTCACTAGCCAGAGGGATGCAGTGAGGGAATGTTTGAGAACTTCCCTTGAAGAAGCTGGCAGAAGGACACTGCATCTACGAATCAAATGCAAACTCCACTGAGCAAACCAAGACAGGTTGACAATCAATGGTTCATACTCGCCGGCCAGGTTATATTCCTCTCAATCATTCAGACCTCCTCCACAGGTTAGAGAAGACATGCAAGACCTCATCACCAAGCTTGCCAGCTTGTCACTTATCAATCGAGATCTCAAAGGTGTAGCTACTACGTAATAGTCAAGCTTCTGCACATGACAATCGTAAACTCGATCAGAATATATTCTGTACCATAGTTGGACACATCCAAAATTCACGAAGTAAAATTGACGAAAACATAAGACAACCTCGTTGAAACTTAGTAAGAGTTGAACCCGAGAACGCTTCTTTTACTCTGCTTTTCCAAATGTTTAGTTTTAACGAATTATCACAGCAAAGAACATCAGCTGTTAAAGGCTTACATAAATCCTGGTAAGTTTAGATGGTGCCAGTCCAGTATGCACTCACTTCGGACTCTTCTTCTGAAATCTGGAGGGTACCTGGAGTACGAACGAAACTTTCATCAAACCACGTCCATTCGATTTTCACTTGAAAAAGTGATTGTCATATTTGCTAATCTTCGTCTACGAAAAACTATCACAGAAAGCGGCGGGCTTTCAACATTCAAATGCAAAACATCTGCTGGACATCTGGTGCAACCTATATTAGGACTTCAGGCAGTGGACCCGTCTTGATGACAGCCAACAGACAAATGAGCGGGGAAACAAAGAGAACGTCTTGAAGCTTAAGAGGAGATACGGAAAATCGAAGCCATAAGAGCATTCGTCACTAAGTCTTTTGAATCTAAAGATTATTCAACGAAGCACTACTGACATTTTCATATATAGAGAATCTTTGAATAAATACCAAATGCTGGCGTCAAGGAACTATGACGTCTAAATTTTTCGTTACAAAAAAAATTTCTGTACATGCCACTTGGAATTCCCACTCTTCCTATTGAATTCTACCTAATGCCTTACAAATTTCGTGGGATACCCATCCTTTCAAGTTTCAACTCTTATACTGCTGCAATCCTTTCGAAGCAACATCACTCAAGCAATACAAGCGGAAAAGATCGGTCAATTGAGGCGGCTACATCAGACAGTTGATCCCATGCGTAACCCAGAACGAATTAGAGGAAAACACATCATGCTTTTGAGATTAGGACTCTATGCATGGCGTTAAAAAGAATGTGAAGTCAACTCACCAGCGGTCGGGCACGAAACCTGTTGAAGGTTGCAGAACAAGAGAAGAGTTTCATAATTCGTATATTACACCCCAACCTTTCGATGGAAAGCGAACTGGCTCACGGAACATCATTTACTAGGCTCAGAAAGTAGAAGAAAAAGCTCTTCATCAGTTACAGGTCCCAATTCCAAGGCACAGTCCAGAGGAGTCTTGCCCCAGCCGTCAATAGCCGTAGGTTGTGCTCCTCGCAACACAAGTAGTTTGGCACAGAAATTTTTGCCATACGTGACACAATGATGAAGAGGACTTCTCCCGAAACCATCTCTACTGTTGACGCGTGCGCCATACTGTAGAAGCATTTCTATCATTGCGAGATCACCAATTTGGCAGGCCAAATGAAGTAACGTACATCCCCACAAATTCTCCTCGAAGTCACCTTTACTGGTGACAGGAGCACCTTGAGAGGCATGAGGAGTGACCAATCCCATCGCCTGCTCATGCGTTGTGTTGGCGTCGGCCTTTTCGATCAGAAAGAGTCTGAGAGCAACCTGTTTGTTGCCTGCAAGAACGGCATTCCAGATGCTCGAAGCCACGCTTGGCCCTTGAGGATTGTGTTCAACCTTCCGCAAGAAGCGTCTATCGACGTACTTCATGTGTATATACCTCTCCTTCACATTGATGGGATCTCTCGGTTGAGGTTTGGCTAACGCGTCCTTCTGATCCAGGTTCCCACTAGTCCTGTCAAACCGCCGTGAGCTGCTATTTGACCGAACGAGCTCTTCTTCCCAGATAGAATTGGCGAAGACATTGCCTACTGATAAAAAGAAGGCTATCACAGAAGGCTCCCATACTTTCACATCTAGAGTCAAGGAGCGCATCTTCGAGACCTGTACTCCGAGATTACGGTGAATACCAGCACATTCTATACACAGAAGGACCCCGAGGTTAAGAGACGCCCAATCCGGATCTGGAGTACCGCAATCAGCGCATAACTCGTTCCCTGGAACACTCCTCAAAATATCTAATGGCCTCTCCTGACGTTCACGAGCCGCGCCATGACCTGCCTCACAACTACGTCGGTGTGAGGAGACGCTCAATGAGCTCGTCTCCTCGAACAAAGAATGTTCGGAATCCATAGCGAAACTGCTAGAGCTACTGTTAACAGGTCTCTGATCTGTTATTTGTGAATTTAAGAGAGATGCTATCACTCCGGTAATTTTATCGATCCAGTCCATCCTATCGAGGGCGTTCTCGGCCTGGAGCGTGTAGCTTTTGGAAGGCGAGATGATTCGAAAACAGAAGCGCAGGTCGGTTTGCTCGGCGTCCATTTTGATAGTGGACGTCAACAGGTTCACCGTGTGATGGGCAATCGTCTTCTCATCCGTCGGTTTCCCCCACTGCTTCCTGTAGTAGTACAACTTGCCAAAACTGTCTAAAACAAAGAACCTCCTCTTCCAGTCTCCACGCAAGTTCGTCGAGCGTTTGAGCAGGTACCCCTGTTTTATGGTCTGAACCTTTCCCCCGGGCGTGGATTGCATCACTGCCTCAATTAGCCGGTGTGAGCTCCTCCCAACAGTCTGGATTCCATCGCCCGCTGCGGACATATCAGCCTTACTAAATGACCTCTCGTTCTCGCGCTCCATACGCCTAGTGAACTCCTGCATTCTGTCAGCAAGAGCTGCTTGCTCATAATTTGCTCTCTGCCTAGACTGCTGTGCGTAAGCTAGCACCTGATGAATGTAAGGCTCCATCTGGTGTAACAACTCGTATCCCTGTTTGAAGTACCTCAAGTGAGCATCCATGCATTCACTGACAGCTTCTAGAAACTCAAACTTCTTCTTGGCCTCAAGATTCGACAGAGCGGATACCAGATTAAACCGAGCTTGCTCGAAAGAGCTTCTGGCAATTCGCAGGTCCTCTTCCGCTTCGATCACAACATCCAGTTTAGCATCCCGTTTGAGATTCAGAAACTTCACACGCACCTGGTCGTAGTGCAGGCTGGATTTCTCAAACCTCTTGCGGAGTTCCTTGACGTCCTGCAGATCGAGGCTGACGAAATGAGTTAGCCGTTCCTCTAAGGTCTGTTCTACTTGAGAGCGCAGAATTTCTTTATAGGTGCCGATCTCCCGCAATGCGATGGTGAATTTTGTCATCACAGGCCCTCCGACGGCGATCGCCATCGGATCATCCAGGCCTCCGCCAAAACTTTCTAAGGCATTAGCAAATGCGATATCTCCATCGTATGCTTCTCCGAGCACCTCTGTGTATTTCCGGCAGCCCTTATGAAACTTCTGACATCGCTCCCTCAACGCTTCCGCAGTCTCCTCGAGAGCTAAGATCTGCTTCCTAAACATCGGGGAATCATCTAACTTGGAAAACTGCATGACCGCTCTGCGCTAGCGCCTTACTCTTCGACAAATTCCGGTTCCCAGCTCCCGTCCTGCCTGCACCAACCACAATGTCCGTGCGCGACAACCCTACCGACCCTGCGAGCTCCTCCTGCCTGCCGCCCACTACCGAATGCTTCAAGCCCAAAGATGCTGCGCGTCTCGTCTCGTCGCGTGCTCCCGCCCCGCCCCGCCTCGCCTCGCCTCGCCTCGCCTCGTCTAGGTCGCCTCCGTCTGAGCGGACGCCAAGAATTGCGATCCCTTCTTGAGCACAATGGAGTCTCGCTAGACTCGCCTGCGATTCTGAGAGCGAGATCTTGCAGGCCGACACGCACCGCGTCGTGCCTACCGCAAAACGATCCAAATGTATGTGGGCGCGTGCGCGTGCGCTGCCGTCTCAAATATAGCACGTCGGGCGTGCCAATGGGCGAATCGATGATGCAGCAAAGAAGAGCAGCGCCGGGCCAGGGCAGCAGCAGCAGCAGAGCAGAGCAGACGCAGGGCAGCAGCAGCAGCAGCAGCAGCAAGCACAAGAGGCAGGCCCAGCGCAGCGCAGCTCAAGGCTCCCAATGCTCAATCAAAACTCGCATCGCCGATCGCCCCTCGGCTCCTCTCCGCTCGTCCTCGCCATTTTCAGCGGCCCCTGACTCCAGCTCAGCCTCCTCGTCCTCGTCCCTCGCCTGCTTTCGCTCCTGTGCAGCTGCATTGCAGCTAAAGAAGGCGTCCGTCGAGGCCCTCCCTGCCTTCATACGCTTCCCTCCCCACCCCCCTCTTACTGCGCTCGGTCGCCTCTTAATGTTACTCCCTCCTCGACGGTGCCGCTCCCCATATACGGTCCAATTGCGGCGAGCACACCGTCGCTGTCCGACTGGACACCGGATGATCTTCGGGCGAGATTCAGCCCTTGACCCTTCTTCGCCACGTCCGTTGTCGGAGGTAGCAAATAGACCAAGGCTGGCACCATCATGTTTTATACAATCAGGTTAAAAAAGTTTTTCTAAAAACACTCTGAATTATTTATTGGTATGAAATTGGGTTTTCAATGTATACATTTTTAGATTTGTAGAGCGTCGGTAATGTTGAGAATATATATTCAAAACTGCGCAACAGTATGGGATAGGAGAAGCTAATATTTATTAACACAAACTATCTGGTGGTCTCAAAAAATATCACTAACCCAAAATTATTCGAGGTTGATAGGGTTCATGGATGATTATGAATCCGAGGATGATGAATTCCTAAAAACATGAACTATTTGTTACTACACTGGTCTGTATTGATTAGATGCTAATAATCTAATACAATTGATCAAAACTGTTGTTGAAATAAGGTTATCTTATTAACCCGAAATTATCTTAGATAAAAATCGGGTTTTTCCACCCCTGATCTTCGGGCGAGATTCAGCCCTTAACTCTTCTTCGCCACGTACGTTGTATGGGGTAGCAAATAGACAATGGATAGAACCACCACCGGCAACCGGATCGGACTGACGGAATCGACCGTCACTGACGCCGACGGGAGTCGGTTCTTGGCCGTCGTCGTCGGCTCGGTCACAGTCCCGGATTCTGTGGAGTCTGTGGATTGGCCGTGGCCTCGGCTCGGCTCGCATCAGACAGCAGAACCGGGGGCGAGATGTGAGGTGGGGCCCACGCAGTCTGCGGTACTCCAACATGCCGTTGAAAGCACTTTCTGCTGTCCGGATTTGTCTCCTGCTCTCGCCCCACTGCCCAGCAACGATTCTCCCCTCCCCGGGCCGGGGAGGCGACGATGTCGGCCCGGTCGGATTCCGGGACGGTGGAGAGTACCGTTTCTGGGCCTGCGAGGTCGGGAGCCGCGGGTGACTCGCTGACCGGAAAGGTCCTCATCGTTCTCAGAACGATGAAAGAGCCATCGAATAAATCGTGCATGGATCCCAGCAGCCAACGGGCAAACTGGGTAACATGGCCCAGCCCCAATAGCAAACATGTCCCTCATCATTCCTCGACGAGAGACGAGTCGAACTGCGCGACTGTGACTGCCGGTGTCATGTACAGTCCGAGGCTGTTTCACGGCACAGTACCGAGGATCCAGTGCCACGGATCGCATCACATTCAGCCTCCGTGTACTCGTTCCTCGCCCTCGCTGCATGCATTCATGCATTTGCATTTGCATTTCGGCGAATGTACCTAAATCCACACAACATGCCGGCCAAATATAACTTATGCGAATGCGCAGGGCATTGGGGTCACTCGCCCGCTTCTCCTTGCCTCCTTCCTTGTGTGAGGCGTTGTCTCGAGGACGTACGTACACGCAATCTCTGGAGGTCGGGGATCTGAACGACATTCAAATGCCTTAACGTTCATGCTTCGAGTTCTGGGAGGGCGGGCCGCTGGCTGGCTACGAGATCGAGATCACTATACCTTGTTGTTGTAGCTTTGTGCAGTCCTTGACTCGCTGAATGTGTAAGGAGTCCCAACTATTCCCAGAATCATAACGATGCCGCACGACGACGGGATCGAGTGATTAAATGACGGAAATTTTTGAGCTGACTCGCACAGATCGGAACTGATTGGCACCGATTTTACAAGCAGCGCTTCGATCTTAAAGTTTTTTTTTCCCAAATCGAGTTAGCATCATGTTACACGTCATATTACAACTCTTATTCTTTGGGGTGGCGTACAGTGGAGGGCGCATCCATGCATGTGAAGGATAATGTAAGAACATGACTTTAAAAGATTTGCTTGGGACCCATTTAAAGCAGAGCTTGGTAACGACATCCATTCTTTACATTTCTTTCTTTGAGCTACAAAATCCAGTGACGACAAGACTGTTGTCAACTTACCACACCAATTATTTTATGGCCATAACAAAGCTATGAGCTCCGGAAAAAACAAAAAAGTTAACATACAGCCAACTTAGAGCCAACTTTTCTCATTTTATACATGGTTCAACTTTACGAACATCCACCACCACGAATGTTTCAATGAAATTCAAAGTGCATAGCAGCTGCTGTGAGAGATACAATTTAATTTCTCATATCAAGCGGCTCAATATATGTAGCCAAGAACCTATTATGTAACTAACCAAACAAATCACACTTAACCATGGTTGGAGATAATTATGGTTAAGAAGACAAGATTTAACATCACAAATACCCTTAACTGTATATTATGGCAGAATGTTAATAAAACCTGCAAGATATAGGCAGCTCCGCGGAAACTAGCTTTTCCTCTCATTCAGCTCACGATAGGATTTTTAATTGGCGGAAATTCCTCACATTAGTTTAAAAGTGGCAAATGCATACAATTCATGCATTAGATGCTAATAACGTTTGTAAAATTGGTTAGATTCAAGTTATCAAGATGTCTTTCAATTCAAATAAGATTAAAAATCTACACTAAATTTTGATTAGGAGAATCAAAAAAAATTAGTAAGATACTCACACTTTATATATTTTAAGGTGAAAAGGTTGAAGTACTCTTCCAGTACTCAAATCTCATACCGTTCTATGACAGGATTTCTTGAAGTTGTCAAGTTGAAAACTTTTCTTGATGACGATAAAAGATTGAAGTTATTTTTTAAAAAAATTACAGGTTATTCCATCACTATAAACAATCTACTTTAAAAAAAATATAAGTCAAATGATTCAATGTTTAAGGTGTCTTTTCTGCATGTATATACCAGATCACAATCTCCTCATGAATACATATACTATAAGAAAATAGAAAAGTACCTCACAATCAATTTATCTAAAAAAATTCACAATAAACTTCATAAACGATTTTGTCAAAATGTATATGAAGTTAAAAAAATCACTCATTATTCTATTCATAAAGTGTGAAGTTGGAAAAAAACCAATTTAAACTTTAACCTAACTATTTTGCAGAGTAAGCTACTTACAAATATATATGAAGATGAATGTGAACAATCTTAATTCAACTAAGTTATGAACTTTACTCTCTTCACATACTACCAACAGAAATAAAAAAATAGCTATAACTACACCTATTCTAATAGACAGATCTGCTCCTATATGCACGCATAAATCTTACTAAGTAACATTGCTACATAGTGCATCATCATCCTAATGGTAACCCTGCTATGAAAAATTAATAATGTGTTTGAACACAATACAATCACATTAATATAGTAGATGTCACGTTCAAACAAATTTGGTACTTTGATTCATGATATGAAATAATTTATATGATTTTGTTTAAAAGAAATTATTATATTGTTCTTGTAAAAGTATGATTTTGGTTTTATTTCAATATAAAATATTTTAAATTTATCAGGGTATTATTACAATAAAAATGCAATATAAAAAGGAAAAACAAAGTGAAGTGAAATTTGCAATGTACAAGCAATTTTTTACTTCTTTAAATCAACTAGTAATCTTAAATCAAATGTGCTACAACATTGAAAAATGTAGTGTTTATATTTATTTCATACATAAATTCAAAAAATGCTACAAAAAATGTACACACAATTTAAATTGTAACATGTATATAAAAAACAATATATTTAATTCACATTTGTCTCATGTAGAAAGTCTTTGGTTCTTATCTTCATTTTTTATTCATTTTTAAAATATTGTTTAATTATATTTTAGCTTGTACAATTATTTGATATCAATCAATAGAAAAAATTTCAAAATTACCTTAGCTTTCATGAATTTTTATTCATCAGTAATTGCACATCACAATTTGAAACAATATTTTACACAAGTTTATTGTCAAAATTTACGTAAACAATCTTTGAAATCAATTAAATTTTTTTTACTGACAAATATTTTTTATGATGTTAACTCAAAACAAAATGTTTGCAAAACTTTAATTCAAAATTAATTTTTATGGTTGAAAAATTAGTTTGTAAATATTTTTCAAGTAGCTATAATACATGTGTAACATTTTACAATGTCAAACATGAGTAATCTTAAATCAAAGTGTAATAAAATAAACTTCATCTCAAATTATATTACCATCTAGCATGTATATATTTTTATACTTGAATACAGTAATAAAGATATAATTGCATTTTTTTTTGTTAAGCAAATTTTTTTAAAACTTCACTCAAAGAGATTGGGATATAACTTAAAAATTAGAATAATAAATAGACATATATTAATACCAAAGTGCTATTAATATATTTTATTTCTATATTTGAACCATCTATTTAATTTAATATAATCTTCGTTATGTGAATATTATCATCATGAAATAAAATTCTGTTTAATATTGGATGAAAAAGATGTCATCGTGATCTTTTATTATAGATTTTTTGTCAATAAAATATTCAAAATATAATTTTTATGTTTTTTCTAGTAATAATATACAATAAAACAAGAAATATAATAATAAAATATCAGCTTCAAAAAATTATACATATTTGACAATTATTTACAATGAAAAAAAATTAAGATCTTCAAAAAATTGTAAATTGTTAAAATTATTTATTTTTTTCAAAACGAAAAAATTGTGAATGTAATATTAAAATTTTTTAATTCGTTTTTTAATAATCTAATTTTTTTTTTGAAAGTAAAGGTTGTTAAAATTGAAAGTTTTATTCTCAACAAGTTTCTTAAATCTTTAGCTTTTAGCTTGTCATGTTTCTTTTTCAACACATAACCATCACGTTTATCATATTTGATTAAATCCAATTCAAAGTCTAGTGTTTTCATGATAATCATCACATCATATCATACTGAAAATTGAAGCCTTCA